TATATATATATATATGTGTATATGTGTATATATATATATATATATATGTGTATATGTGTATATATATATATATATATGAGTGAATATATGTAAAATACGTATTAAATTAAACATTTAAATTAACATTTTATAAGCGTTAAGTTTTTAGGTAATCTCTGCAGTTTCATGGGAGAGTGACTGTGCAATCAGGGATGCTGATGAAAAACTAGCTACGAAAAAAGAAAACTTAAATCTGCCAGGCTGGGCAGGTTACTTAAAAGATAAATGATTAAGAAAACAAGAAACGCAGAAATAAATACAGGAACATACTAAAAACACTGATACATAAAACTGAAAATATGCATTTGCATAACTCAAGAAAACCTCAAAAACTGTGATATTGTACCACCACTCATGATTCTTTTTTCTATATGTGTGTGTGTGTGTGTGTGTGTGTACGTGCGTGCAGGTATTGGTCTGACAGAGTCTCTGGCCATGACACCTGCTGCCTCGATTTCTGGACTTTACTTCTCTCACCCCCAGGCCTCATACTTCTCCGTGGGAAAGATCACCAAGGAGCAGGTCAGCTATCCATCCCTTAGTCCAATTATAATCCAGTATAATCAGGTTAGTTAGTTATAAAGTGGTCGTTAGTAATATGCAATTTAGGGAAAACAGCAGTTTGTATTGCTTTGATTTATTTCCTCTATCCTGAGAAAGCATGAGGTGGCAGGCAGCAGTATAGAGGACCTACTCTCCTGTTAAGGACCCATGGACCCAGAGCCCTTCGATCAACATCTACTATTGATCAAAACTCAGACAGTATTTTCTCTTCTTGTTATTCCAGCTCATGTGTCTGTTGTCACACATGCTGCAGTCTGCAATATCTGTAGTGAATAAGATTATATTAGCTCCTGTACAAGTATAAAACTTAAAACTCCTCCTTTATATGGTTCTCATCAAGAAAACAAGTCATATTTCATCACTTTCATGCAGTCAAAATACCTAGAAAACGTATTTCCTGCTGTTTATTAAAAAAGAACAAGTTTTATTGAATCGCACAAAGACTTAATGAAAATTACTTGCTTCCCCTCCCAGTTTCTCCATTTCCTTATCTTCAGTATGTGTCTGAGAATTGCAGGACTCGGTCCATTCTCTGACAGGAGGATCCTTGCTGTGTGTGGGACATGGGTCCAGTCAGTGTATGTGGGTGCATGTAGGGATACAGTGGGTCTCCAAGCAAGGGTATATCCATGTCTTTGTCACTTTCTTGTCACTCATTTTCCACCTTTAGGCCTCCTAGCATCCCCTCTTGGAAACTTTGGCTCTTTCACAAAGTATCTCACACTACTGAAGGGATTGGGAACTCTTTCTCCTAATTTCTGACTGCTTTGACCACAGCTCACAGTCCAGTTTTGTGGTAGTGATAAATCCATCCAGATGATGTTCAGGCTTCTTTTCTGCACAGCTGAGTAAGCCACAGGCCTGAATTCAGTAATGATCTTCACATTTTGTTTATTTGTCTACATCTAGAATGGTGGCTTATTCAGTACACGACTAGTATGGACATGGGCAACTTTCTGCCAGTTGTTTGTGTCACTCAGCTTATCTGGAATCTTCTTTCCATCTCCTATATAAAGCTGCAGACAGATGTCTCCAGAGAGCTCAGTGGTTGTTTGCTCTCCACTATTAGTTGCTGCACACTGTTCCTGGACCACAGGCACTTCCTGTGGTTGTTTTGTGGATGTTTTGTGGGGCTTCAGGCTCAAGGACACTGCCATGTACCCTCAAGTATCTCCTCTGAGAACACTGGCAACCAAAGCCATTTCTTCCTCCATTTCCCAGCTGACAGCTGTCCTCTGAATATTGGTCTACAGCTTATCTTCTTTGGCGTAGAGTTGTAGGATGTCTTCTTAGTTGTGTTTTTCAGCAAGTAAGTTTCCAGAAGGGTCTCAGACCGAATGTCATTTGTGAGATGGGGGTATGGATTGAAGGAAAGTTGCCTGTTTGTTGCTGAATTAGGATGCAACAGGAGTCTTTTGCTCTTCTTACTAGAACATATTCTCTTTATCAGATGTATGTTTATCTTGTTCAAAGATGAGATTTCTCATTTGGATCAGGATAACAATCCAATCATCATCATCTGATAACAACAAAAAAGGTTAAATCATGTCATCTGGACCAGTTTCTTTAAGTGAGAAATGTTTCGTCTCCCGTCCAGAAGACTTCATCCATCTGCGGCCTGCCAACCAGATCTGTCCCATAGGTAGCCTTCACTGCTGAGTTTCAAGCCAACTTCCTGTTGGAATCTCAGAATCAGGCTGAATCATGCATCACATGCAAACAGGGCACATCCATCCAAAACAGTCATCATGTATAACAATCAAATGTTTTAGGCCAAATGGCCAACTTGCTACTCACAGAAACATCCCGAGGACAACCAAGGTCAAAGAAGGAGGTGGGGACTGAGCTTCCCAGTCCAGCTCGCCTCAGCTGCCTGAGGGAGTAGAACCGCTGATGTACCTTCTTGGTCAGACTGGAAGTGTTGTTGCCCAGGTGCACACCCAAGTACTTGTAACTGAAGACCACTTCCATGGCCGATCCTCCTATGTGCAGATGGGGTAGGTGTGTTTACCCCTTCTGAAATCCACAGTCATCTCCTTCGTCTTCTTCACATTGATGTGAAGGTTATTCCTGCACCAGCTCTCCAAGTGTTCCACCTCCTGACTGTAGCTGAACTCATCATTGTTTGTGATACATCCAACCACCACTGTATCATCTACAAACTTTACAAAATGGTTGCCTGGATGGGTAGGTGCGTAGTCATACGTGAGCAGTGTAAACAGGAGAGGGCTCAACATATATCCCTGAGAAGAGCCAGTGCTGAGGGTTATGGTGGAGGAGGAGATGTTGTGGATCCTCACTGACTGTGGTTGGTTTGTACCCATTTGCAAATGGAGGGGCTTAGTCATAGTGTGATTAGTTTGTCCATCAGGGTTTGGGGGATCATGGTGTTGAGAGCGGGCGCCTCAGAAGAGATGAAGAAGTGTGCAGTGCTTTGCCTCACGGAAACGTGGATTACAAGTGAAACGCCGGACTCAGTCTTCCAGCTGGATGACAGACTTTTTTTTCGAGCGGACCGCTGCAGCGAGCTAACGGGGAAATCACGGGGGGGGCGGAGTGTGCATTTACGTGAGTAAGAGTTGGTCCACGAACTGTACTGTTGTAAATAGCTCATGCTCGAAGGCTTTGGAGCAAATAACAGTGAAATGTCGGCCACATTATCTACCCCGAGAGTTCACAGTGACTTTTATCACAGTTGTTTACATTCCTCCGGACGCTAATGCTAACGAATCACTACAGGAGCTTCATGATATCATCAGCTCGCTGCAGAACAAACACCCCGAGGCTCTTTACGTGGTAGCCGGAGACTTTAACCACGTGAATCTAAAGGACTGTCTCCCAAGCTTTAATCAGCATGTGACGATTCCAACACGTGGAGACCGCACGCTGGACCGTGTTTACACGAACGTAAAAGATGCATACAAAGCCGAACCCCGCCCCCACCTAGGACTGTCAGACCACATCTCGATCTTCCTGGCTCCTGCTTACATGCCCCCGCTGAGACGCTCCAGACCGGTACAAAAGAAAGTTAAATGTTGGAGGCAGGACAGTGGCCCCATACTGAGAGATTGTTTTGATCGAACAGACTGGCAGGTTTTCAGAGAAGCTGCTGAAAATGGAGGTTCGCTTGATCTTGACCAATACACATCCTCAGTACTGGGTTACATTAGTACATGTACTGACACAGTCTCCACTATCAGAAATGTTAAAAGCTACCCAAACAGAAAACCTTGGCTGAATGCAGAGGTGCGTACCCTGCTGGAAGCCAGGAACACTGCCTTCAGGTCTGGAAACTCAGAGGAGCTGAGTAGGACAAGAAAAGAGCTGGTTGCTGGTATTAAGAGGGCCAAGGCCACATATGCAAAGAGGATCGAGGGTCAATTCATCTCACAAGACCCTCGGAGCATGTGGAGGGGCATTAAGTGCATAACAGATTATAAAGGAAGGAGTGAACAATGCCCCAAAGATCCATCTCTGCCTGATGCCCTCAACAAGTTCTATGCACGCTTTGAAGACCCGAACAGACCACCCAGCACCAGACTCACCTCGCCACCGGATGAAGAGCATCTCAGCGTGACCTCAGCAGAAGTAAGGAGTACCTTCAGGAGGATTAATCCGCACAAAGCAACTGGCCCAGACAACATCCCCGGAAAAGTGTTGAAGGAATGTGCTGATCAGCTCTGTGAGGTGCTGGCAGACATCTTTAACACCTCACTTACCCTGGAGACAGTTCCCACCTGCCTGAAGACTGCCACCATCATCCCAGTCCCAAAAAGCTCTACAGTGACTGGTCTGAATGACTATC